AGAGAGAGAGAGAGAGGGAGAGAGACAGAGAGACAGCGACAGACAGAGAGAGACAGCGACAGACAGAGAGAGACAGCGACAGACGGAGAGGGAGAGAGACAGAGAGACAGCGACAGACAGACAGAGAGACAGCGACAGACAGCGACAGACAGACAGCGACAGACAGAGAGAGACAGACAGAGAGAGAGAGAGACAGACAGAGAGAGAGAGAGACAGACAGAGAGAGAGAGAGACAGAGGGAGAGAGACAGAGACAGCGACAGACAGACAGCGACAGACAGAGAGAGACAGCGACAGACAGAGAGAGAGAGACAGAGAGACATAGAAAATAAGCAAGATTAGATATCTTTTTTGTATAATTAATATTCTACATTTAAATGTAATAATATTTAAATTCATTTAGATAAGGAGAAATTTGGTTCTTGCAGCAGCAAAAAAACAGAAATAATTACAGATAGAGAAATTCAAGTGAATAAATTTAGTGTTCGTCTATATGAATATGGAGATTAAGTTAAAATACACACACACACACACACACACACACACACACACACACACACACACAGCCCTAAGTTGAACCGATATTCAGTCTGTAACTCCGGTATTTGGATCCAGCTGCTCAGATCATCTTCATTAATCTTTGTGTGAACAGATCACAGACTCACCTGAGCGAGGTATGCTCCGAAGCCCGTGGCCACTGTGGGCGCCTCATAGGCCACGCCCAGTTTGTCCACGTAACCTAGGAAACTAGAGGGAGGCGAGAAGGCACGCTGTTAAAAGGAGCTCATTAACATAATCTGTTTTTATACAATAGAAATAAACTTTAACCTTTAAGTTAAGAGATGAATGTAATTATTTAATTTCATTATTATTTCATATTATTGTTACTGATGTTTTGTTTATTATTTGTTATTTTGTATCTGCGTGTTAAAATATTAAATGAGAAAATAAACTTTATTTCACGACTTCAACCAAACAATGACGTTTGTTATGCTGCGTTCACAACAAACACTACGTTATAGAGGCTTTACTCATTATTTCACGTCTAGTATACAGTCCTTCCCAATGTAACGAGGATAAACCAAAGAAGAAGAGTGAACCTCTCTCCGTTGTAGAAGCCTCCGATCACCACCGTGTTCCACAGAGGGTTCATCTTGCTGCGTCGGTTGTACATGACTCTGGTCAGCCAGGAGTGGACCGCTTTAGGACTGTAGCTGTGACCGTCGCCCAGCAGCTCCTCATCGATGCTGCCGGAGACACAAAGAAGATCATCATCATCATCATCATCATCATCATCATCATCATCGAGAGAGAGACAGGATCATCAGCACAGAGCAGCAGGCCGGTGGGTCATGGTTCTGTCAGCTTACACCATCTGCTCAATGATGTGCTTGAGATGCTGGTAGTCGGCGTAATCTCCTGAAGCTCCCAGGATGGTGTTGTCGTTCACCTGAAGGCAGAAACAAAAACTTATTCTAGATTCATCATTATTATTGATTTATTTCATAAATGTTGAGGAATAAACTTTGACACTCGAGGTTGAAAATCCGTTGATCGTGTTTCGTTCACGTCTTAATGCTGTTCTGATATTCTTAAACCGAAGAACTTGGACAAAGTCACAGAGAAAAACTGGTCTGGCTGTGGGACCCACCATCACCCCTTAATGACAAGCCGCGACCCAAACGTTCAGCTTCTCAGATGTCTTTAATGTAAAGATGGAGCAGTCTGAACCTGAGCTGAACATGTCCTCTGCAATCGTAGTACTAGGGAGCTCTCTAGTGCAGAGAACTTGTTCCTGTCAGTTCCCGTCCCACACGTTTCACGTAAACCAGTAAAACTGCTTTGTTTACATGTCCATAGATTCGTCTATTTGTAATGCAGAAGGACCACTTGTCTAAGTTCGATCTGTGGTCTGTTGTTGTCATCCGACATGTCTTCAGTTCAATATTCATAGTGTCATATGACAGAGGTATAGTCTTCAGTTCATCCTCTGCTGATATTAGCATTACAAGGCATTAACGCCAAATATTGTTAAGGAGTGTGACTACAGGCACTCCGCTGCATAAATAATCACCTTCAAAATAAAAGCACAGGATTTTTTTTATTTATTTTTGCCAGGCAAAGGCCCCGACCCACTGAGAACAGGTCCGCGACCCACCAGTTGAGAATCACTGCTCTAAACGACCCCAGACAGTACTTATATACACACACACATGTACGTGTTGCTACAGCTGAGGTTGCGTCACCTTCATGAGGCGCGAGATGTTCCTGAAGCGAGCCAGAGAGCCGTAGGAGCCCAACATGTCCGCCGCGATCATGACGCCGCCGGTGAACTTCACACCGAGCACCGACGTCCCGGTGACCATGGGGTTCCTGCAGGGAGAGCCGGGTCAAAGCATTATTAGTTATAATATATACATGCATAATAATAATAATAATATATACACATACATACACACACACATATATACACATATATACACACACACATATACACACATGTATACACACATACACACACACACACACATGTATACACACATACACACACACACATGTATACACACATACACACACACACATGTATACACACATACACACACACACATGTATACACACACACATGTATACACACACACATGTATACACACACACATGTATACACACATACATGTATACACACATACATGTATACACACACATGTATACACACACATGTATACACACACATGTATACACACACATGTATACACACATACATGTATACACACACACATGTATACACACACATGTATACACACACATGTATACACACACACACATGTATACACACACATGTATACACACACACACATGTATACACACATGTATACACACACACACATGTATACACACACGTATACACACACATGTATATATACACGTATACACACACATGTATATATACACACACACACACACACACATGTATACACACACACACATGTATACACACATACACACACACACACATGTATACACACACACACGTATATACACACATATGTATGTATACACACACACACGTATATACACACATATGTATATATACACACACACACATATGTATATATACACACACACACATATGTATATATACACACACACACATATGTATATATACACACACACACATGTATGTATATATACACACACACACATGTATGTATATATACACACACACATGTATGTATATATACACACACACATGTATGTATATATACACACACACATGTATGTATATATACACACACACATGTATGTATATATACACATGTGTATATATACACATGTGTATATATACACATGTGTACACACACACATGTGTATATATACACACACACACATGTATATATACACACACACACATGTATATATATACACACACACATGTATATATATATACACACACATGTATATATATATATACACACACATGTATATATATATATACACACACATGTATATATATATACACACACACATGTATATATATACACACACACACATGTGTATATATACACACACACATGTATATATATACACACACACACGTGTATATATACACACACACACGTGTATATATACACACACACACGTGTACACACACACACACATATGTACACACACACACACATATGTACACACATATGTACACACACACATATGTACACACATATGTACACACACACATATGTACACACATATGTACACACACATATGTACACACACACACGTACACACACACACACACACGTACACACACACACACGTACACACACACACACACACACACACACACACACACACACACACACACA